TTGAGATGTCAGTGTTTGAAGATTCTATATTTATAGAGTTTCATTAGTTGACTGATCATCACTTCAGATGATGTCATTCTGATCACTGTGTGAAAAATATTGTTATATACTCATTGTATTAAAGAAATTCATTCTATTCAGTTATTTTGTTAATAGCTGCAATATATGTGAAGATAATATTTAATCATCTGATTCAATCATTCTGTTTGATTGTCAGTCTGTAGATGGAAGGCTGTTGATAATTTTCATCAAACATGAAGTAAGTAATATAATGTTGATCAGAATTTACTATTTATCAATGAATCTTAATCATTAATAATGTTCACAGATTTAAATACTTTAACAATTAAAATTTATATAATATTAGAGTTTTTAAATTTAACTCTGTAACACTGATAATTTCATTCTCATCTGTAAATGTGTTTTTTATTTTGTCAAAGTTGTTGTCATTGATGACTATGAGCTTTTTCACCCTATAATTTTCTTTAATTTGCAGATTTTTTCACATCATTTTGATATACTGATCTAACTTTATATTTTCTTTTATTTTTAATGCTTTAAAAATCCTCTTATGCAGCTTTTTTTGCACAGAGCCTCATCAAAAAAGTTGTATATTTTATAAAATCTGAGCAATGACTTGATACATTTGTAGAATTATTTTTCTCAGAATGATGCTCAATTTCAAAATTAAACACTGAGAGCATTTCCATTCAGTGAATCCGACATTCATTTAACTGCTTTATCATCATGAAGTGTTGAAGGTTGACATGATCAGATAGAACAATTATTGAGTGTTTGTTATTGTATAGATAATGACATTATTATCTAAAAGCTTTTACAATCAATAATATTTTTAAATTATATATTTGATAATATCTTTCTGCTTTTGTAAATTTTCTAAATCAAAATGCAATTGAGTGTCAGTGATCATCATTTATTAATGTGTGTTTCTATACAGAGTTTTCACTATAAATCAAAGTGAATTAACAACAGTATTTTTATAAAGCATTCTTTTAACTGCAAGATTGCATACTTGCAGTTTTCATTTAATTGAACAGATGTATTGTTCTTTCCTTTTTTTACTTCATAATCGTTTAACAATTCAATCAGAGATGCTGTTATTATCAAAAACTTATATATGAATTGCTGATAAAAGTTGATGAATTTTAAAAATATTCGCAACTCATTTCTCATTTGCATTTTTGATCAATCTAAAATCATATCAACACAGTGTTTTTCAACAGTAATGCTTTATATGATAATCATAAAACTCACAAATCCAATTTCTGTTGCATTAAATATATACTTACTAAGTTTGACATATAGTCTTCATCATCTTAATCATTCTAGCACATTCTTAATATGGACAATGAGTTTGTCAAACATGTTCAAATAAATTATGATATCATCTAGATAAGTCATACAATATACATTCAAAAGATCACTAAGAGCTTTGTTAATATAAAATTGAAAAGTTACAAAGGTATTGATTAGCTCAAAAAATAAGATCAGATATTCAAAATACTCATATCATATTTGAAATACTGTTTTCCATTCATTTCTCACTCATATACAAATTTTATGATACATGTCTTTAAGATTTAATTGTGTATATATTTTAACACCTGCTAATCTATCAAGTATTTCATTTATCAAAGGCAGTGAATACTGATTCTTGACTGTTATTTCATTTAATTTTTGATAATCTACACAGAGGTGCAAGATTCCATTCTTCTTCGGTGTAAATAATATTGAGACATTGACTGAGCTTTTGAATGAGTGTATTCAATTCTTTTCTAATATCTTTTTGATATATTCTCAGAGAACAGAGAGTTCTTAAGTTGGTACATTATATACCAATCAGTATGATGATTTTTTATCAGATTTAAGATTTATAATATGATCATGAAGTGTATGCTCCATGTCAGATATATTTTCTTGAAATACATTAAGATAATTCTTATAATCATTCAGAATATTTGACTCAGTCACTATGTGTGCAATTTGTAGTGAAAAGATAGTGAATATGATGTTGCTGTTATTCATTAAAGTTGCAAATTCCTTAATAGTATCTAAATATATGTGATTAATATTTGATGCTTTGCTATAGATTCATCATCTTCACACTCAATCAATATCAAAATTCACAGCTTGCAATCACAGTATGTTTAAAATTATATCATATTCATTAATATTGATTTTTTTGAAATGGTGGAATTCTTTCTGAATAACATATTTATCATTGATAATCTTTATCACAGCTTTTCATTGTTCATATGATTTAATTTTATAATTATCAATTACTTTCACTACTTTCAGTTTATTCTCTGATTTCAAGAAATATTTCAATGCTTAGATATGAAATATGAAGTTTGCATCTGTATCAGAGTTTATTAATATTCACATCATCAACCATTTTGCTTCTGTCAACATTCATGTATTTATTATCAATAACTATTTATTTCACAATTTAATTGTCTGTATTTTCAATGCAGCAGCTGCTTCTACAATTGAAATTGTTGATTTTTTACTTATCAAATTTGATCATGCTTTTCAAAATGTAACATTCAACAATCATTTACAATATGATTTTTCTTATAGCAATGAGAGCACTTTTTCATTTAATTATGTTTATTTTTCTTAATTTATTCAGTTGAATTCATCTGCTTCCCTTGTTTTCTTTTATTTCAGCAGTTATTGGATTTATTAAAATGATGTTGATTCTTTATAAATATCACATATCTGGTTTTATAAATGATATATTATTATTTTTATATATTTTTCTCAAGAATTTGTAGAGTTCAAAGCAACTCTTCATAATTTTGAGATTTTTGATTTTGACAATTGAGTTCAGTGTGTAGCATTTTCAATATTTTACTACACAGATTATCCATTCTCTGTTCTTCATTATATAAAGATAAATAATACTCTCAGTTTTCAAGATATTTAGAAAAATCACATATTGATTGCTACTTTTATTGTTTAATATTTTGAAATCTTTAATTTATCAATTAATATTGGTTCTGCAGGTTGTTAATTTGCATCTCTAGATGTGATAATATATCATTAAATGTTAATGATATTGCTATTTCATATTTTTTATATGATGATATAAAATTCAACTACTTCTACTTCACATGAGTATTAAAGTAAAGTTTGACATCATTTATCTTGCATTCTTTTTTCAATAATATCAACAATGATGTGTAAAAAGAGTTAACATGTGATCTTTATAATTTTTAAATTCTAACATATTTTTTTTCTTAATAATAGTTCTTTACTTTCAATCTTGATGATATTTCATTATCATTATTCATATTATTTATAAGTAGATTTTGCAGCAGTTCTGCAGTGATGTTTTGAATTGATTGAATTTCAATGAGAATATCTCCATGAATCTGCATTTTCCATTTATTAAAATGTTGTTGCATACACAGAATAGTTAACTGTTGTTCTTATTTATGAATTTGATCATTCAACTGCTGCAATCACACATTATGATTGTTGAAAGTGATAGAGGATTTAGATTGATTTTCTAAAGATCTTATACATGTTGAAATCATCCTACATGTTTTAATCAATGTTGTAGGTTTATTGTAGATGTGTATAGCAATAGATCATTCAGATAAAGTTATGAGTAATTAGAATTATAAAAGATAAGTTATAAAAATAATTATAAGAGTAGTGTGAAGTACCCATAAAAGATATTTAAAAGATAGCAATCTCTATTATTCAAAGTTAATCACTGATCTTCTCTATCTACAGATACTAGCAAGCATTATATAGACAATGTTATCATCATACTATATTTATTACAATTGATTGTTCCATGCTTTTCTATCATTATATATCTATTTTCTGATATAAATATCTTCATTGTATGTATTACACTATTCTTCTTCCTCATTCTACACACTGTTTACAGCCACTAAATATTGAAATATTTGACTCATTTGTAAAAATATATTCAGATCAACTAGATTTCTATACACATTCTGACTATGATTTTATTCAAACTACGAAGCAAGATTTTTGATGATTATTTTATGCTATGTAGAAAACCTCTATATCTGCAAAAAATATTAAATCTATTTTCATGACACTGACATACATTTTATAAATTCTGCTCACATTTTTAAAAAGATTCAATCCCATTTATTTACATTCTTTGAACCGTTTCAGCAGTGTACATTTACATTTATACAAACTTTACAAAGTTTGATAAAGCAGACAAATTAACATCATCATTGACTTTCAGTTGATATTAAAAAAAATTCTCTGCACTGAGAAGAATATTGCTTTGAACAGAGAGATTCTCTTAATAGAGAATAAGAATCTTCAGACTGCTTTAAATAATGAGAGAAAGTGATGCAAACAGAGTAAATATATGGAATTGTTTAATTTATTAAATCCCTCACTTGCTCAATTTTTTTCTCCCATTAAAGTGCAAGCCGTGAGGGAGCAAGCAGATGCTAGTGAAAATGCAAAAATCAATGACCACACATACAAGGAGGATATAAAGCTTCAATGAGCAATTTTTTATAAATAAAAACAGATAGAGCTTATGAAGTGAAAGAAACAATATGAGAAGGAATGTTTAGAAACTGCTCAATGCTGTGAGAAGGTCAAAGCTGCAACTGCAGCTAAATGTCTTATAGAAAAGCAACAATGAGATGAATGGAAACTTCAACTGCAAAAAGAGAAGGAAGAATGTGCTGCTAAACATCATGAAGCACAGTTGACAAAGCAGGTGCTCATGGAGGCCTCAAAGAGGTCTACAAGAAGATCAACAGTAGGCTCAAAACATCATAAAAACTCTATACAAAACCTTTTAAAAGCAGTAATAAATGCCGCACGCAGGCCCCCCCCAGTGGAATCAAATGATATTCCTTCTCTGACATCTTCTCCACCGCGATCCGATTCAACTGTTTCAAAACCACAAGTTTCACCATTCTGGGCGGATTATTAGGCCAAGCAATCGTTCTCTGAATTAATCATATATATTTATATAGTGTATTCTACATAGTTTTAATCTTTAATAAATAATATTTATCTTATTGCATTGTTGTGCTACAGTTGAAAATTAACGGCTCTATAGAGTGCTTTTTGGAGTTCATTGGGTGGATGAGTTGGGTGGTGAGTCACGTTACTGGTAGAAATAAATTTATCGACAAACCGATGCTCGACAAACGGATGGTAGTTACTAGTAGAAACTGATGCTCGACAAAACGGGTGCTACAAGTACAAACCGATGCTCGACAAACAGATGCTACAATCACCTCACAAAGCGTATCTGCACGCTGCTTGAGCAGCACGCTACTGGAACTACTAATGGGCTTGCAGACATCCGTGTTACTAGTAGCGTCCCCGTACTCTCGGGTTATCATGACCGACAGCGCGCAGTTCAAACCCCCGGAGGCACCGGGGGTTCTTATTTATGGCCGCTTCTGGGAGGAGATAGCTGGCTCTCTTACCTAGGAATTACCAACCAGATGGGGGACTTTGTAGGACAGAAGATATCCTTGTGCTATGGCCGTGTTGTAACAGCCGCTGTGCCACGGGGCTGGTCGGTACGGTTTACCCGGATCAAACGGTGACTTGAATAACCTCCAGGGCTTCCTGTTCAGTTCGTTCGCGTTATTCGAGGGCAACCATGTTCCAGAGTGGCAATCGTGCGCGTTGGACTAACTATAAGTACCCTATGCCGACTCGTGGCGAACGGGAACAGACAGGCAAAACTCACTCCACATTTACCGGCATCAATTGCGGTACTCTGTTCCTTTGGTCCGTGTACCAACCCCATAACAAAGTCCATCTGCGGGGTATCCCAATTGCATCCGTGCCCCCAAAGCTTTCCCCAGCCGCTACTCCGTGCGGCGAGGCCATCCCTAACGCCTTCTTCCATACGTAAATTCTGGGTGCACAGGCCCACGCTGCTAAAATGCAGGCGCAACAGCCTCTCTGGTCTCGGATTCGATATAAGCTACGAGAACCGTTCGCTGAATTCGTTGGTGTCTTTATTCTTGTTCTTTTCGGAGATGGCTCTGTGGCTCAGGTCATTCTAAGTGATAGAAAGAAAGGAGATTACCAGTCGATCAATTGGGGTTGGGGGTGAGTTACCTTCTTACGCTTTTGTCTCAACTCCTCCTTGAGCTACCTGGGATAAAGAGAAAAATGCTGTCATGAAAAGATCCTGGATCCAGCATCAGTTCAGCTGACAGCTGACATAATTGACAGTCTTGGTGTGATGCTCGGGGTCTACTGCTCAGGTATATCAGGGGCCCACCTAAACCCGGCCGTTACTCTCGCCAACTGCATATTTCGCAAATTCCCATGGAGGAAATTCCCCGTGTATGTGATCGCTCAGATGTTGGGTGGATTCCTTGCCGCTGGGATCGTCTATGGGAACTATAGATCCGCTATTGATGTTTCGAAGGAGGCGTTGGTATCCGTACTGTGGGCCTCGAAACGTCCACCGCGGGCATCTTCTGTACATATCCGGTCGATTTCCTGCACAAAACAGGCCAGTTTTTTTCTGAGCTTATCGCCAGTGCGATCCTTATGTTCTGCATCTTTGCTTTGCTCGACAACAATACATTTGGGGCTGGCAATCTCACCCCATTGGGCTTGTTCTTCGTTTTCTTTGGCATAGGTGCCTGCTTTGGTTGGGAGACGGGATATGCGATCAATCTTGCGCGAGATTTTTCACCACGGTTGCTGTCATATATAGTAGGATATGGCCCTGAGGTATGGTCTGCTGGGAATTATTACTTTTGGGTATGGCTATCCTCTTTTGCACCTGCTAGTGCTGTTGTCAGGAATCTGTTTGGCTCTGCCAGTGCTAATCTTTTATTCTCCAGGTTCCAATTGTTGCACCATTCGTTGGATGCACGCTAGGCGGGTTCCTCTATGACGTTCTACTGTATACAGGGGAAAGTCCCATCAACACCCCCTGGATGGGGTTCGATCGTCTGCTGCGACCAACACCCGAGGTATGGTCAAATACGAAATCACCAGCCTAGCAAACGACTGCAGATCTGCGTTTATTATTTAGCATCTTTCATCGTCTATCACATACGACCATAGGGAGTGGAAAGCAGGGCTTCCCGTCCGCTCAGCCATACTTAAGCCGCTCGCCGGCCGGTTAGTAGTTGGGTGGGTGACCACCAACGAATCCCGGTTGTTGTATGTTTTTGCTCATCACCCTGTCGCCGCTTTTTTGCACCCTCCTTCACTGGAACTTCAGGGGGTTCATGGGAATTGTCCCTGCATGGTTCCAGTATTTGCCGCTGCCTCTGCGCCCGAAATGGGTGCTGGTAATTAATGAATACCGGAGGCAGTATTGGGAGGAGTTGGCAGAGGGTGGGGATGAGGGGGATGGTGGAAGAGAGAGGAGGAAGTGAGAGGTTGGGGGTGCAGCTGCAGGATCAGTTTTGATGTCATCATCTAGAATTTTCCCTCAGTTGGTATGAATGTAGGACTGCTGCAAAAATAATATTTCTGTGCTGCAATTTCTGTACAATTACTTCAATGTTGCATACAGTTGCTTAAACTTGCTTTTCTATCTAGCCCAAGGATGGGAGGGAACATGCTCAAAAAGCTGGAATGGCTCAGCCATACATGATACATCTCTGCTTGCCCATTTGCTTTCTGATGACACAGATTTAAGAATTTCATGTGAGTTTTGTAGTTGGAATACTACAAGGAAGAATTCCATGGGGAGGGGTGAAAAGAGCTGATGATGACCCGATTTGGGGTCACTACTATTGGAGGGTAGATATATATGTTTCTATAGCATCTTGACCACTTGCTCTTCAGGCTGCTCTGTTCTCAACGCTAATGTGCTCATCTTGACTTCTTGTTCAACCTTCACCTTCTTCTTGCGTGACACAAGTGAGTGGGCATTCCACATTATTGACACAACCTCTACCAGCTGTCTAAGATATCTCAGATCCAAAGATAGTGATTTTTTCTCAATTCTTGACACTGCTTAGTTTTGGTGTCAAATGGTAAACAGCCTTGGCCATCTGATGCCACTAGGTGACCGAGCCTGGTGCCCTCCGGAATAGCTGTCTTCCATGGTCGACCGATTTTTTAACCAAGCATAATTGAAGTAAACAGCGACTTCTTTTTCATTCAAATACTTACTCTTTGTTTCTGCCGCTATTTAAACGGTAGGAATTTCCATATCTCCAGCTGATGTCCACTCAAGCCCACTTCCCAGGACCACTATCGATGGCGAATAAAGAAGCATGGAGTCTCGGCCACGGACGGGGCGAACACCAACCACTAGTTATTCAAGCCTGGCTACTCCGTACATTTTGCGGGCAATTGTCGTTGATGTTTCATTGGACAAAAATGCGATAGTGGGGTTTGATGCCTGATCGCTTAATGATATTTAACTATCTGAAGTGGCTGATGTTTGTTTAGTCTGTCGGCCTCAGTTCAAGAAACGGTTTGTCGGACTGCTGCCATGTTTCCCTTGCCGCGATTAGAGAAACAGTAATCTGTACATCTGAGGAGTTTCTTTTCTTGATACCTGCTTTTTTTTTTCAACTTTTAAGTATCTTTCAAATCTGTTGGTGACCATTTTTGAACTATTCGCCTGTCCTGATACATCCTTCGTCCAAAAAAGTAAGCATTTCACTTGGCAAAATGGGATCTTTCGACATATATTGTGCATTGTGCTGCGGCACCTTATACGAAGTTGAGATTGGAGGCAAGTCAAAAGAACAGCGCCAAGTGCGCCAGCGATTAATCGCAAGGAAAATTCAGGAGCTCCAGGCTCAGAGTGAACGCAGCGGCCTGGCTATGGTTGGTGAACAATTGGGAAATGAAAAGGCGGCACAATATACACAAAGTGAGAATGTGCTGGTATCTGAGGAGGAAGATAAAGACTCTTGGGAAATCCAAAGGGAAATGGACGGCAACAGTGGCTACGATCCAGACATCGTTAGCGAAGAGAGTACTAAATGGCTTCGGGTGGTACATGTGCTCGGGTACAATCCTACAGCGATGGGACCTAGCAAGTGCGTATGCAGCTCATTCCCTGAAGTATCTATTCCGACGGTGCTTTTTTACTAATAACCACCGTAGGACCTATATTTCGGGCGAGGGGACGTATTCTGATTTTGTATGTCTTCTCCTTCCAAGCTCTAGAATTCTTCTGCAAACCTGCTTTATGAAGTTTTTTAATTTGTGCAAACTAGGACGCTGTTGAATTTTCGCGAGGCGATGGTATGCAGATGCTCTCCCGAAGTTCCATTTAGCACTATCAAGCTAATAAACTTGTCAGATCCAAATGTTCCTCAAAACCTCAATTCGCTGGACACAGATTGTGTCTCCTGGTCAGAGATATTACTGCTTTAGTGACTTTCACACTCTGCTAACTTGTTGCAGCTATGGATTCAGCGATCTTTCAGCTTTTCCGTTTCATTGGTGCTGCTTCGAAATTCTCGTCCGGGTTCTTACAGGCTCTACGGATATAGGTCAAATTGATAAGGATCTTCTTTACCACGTTATGCTTGGGCTTTCTCCACAATACTCACGATATCTGGAAATCGATTACGGAAACCTTACTGGTGTAGAGCAATTTTGGGATTGTGTTCCTGGAGAAGAGGTACGCCATTCTTCCTGTTTGGGGAATGTTAGAGGGTATATATTGATGAAAAGGTGCATTCCAGTATTCTGTCACCCATCCGGCAACCCCTGGTTTCGAAGAGACCCTTCGGAAGTTAGTAGAAGAAAAGGCTTTCAAAGGTCTCCCTCCTCATGAGGTTTCTTTGTCGCTTGCGCATAAAGTGAAACGACTCCTCCCTATTTGCCCAATTACCATTCGACCTTTTGTACTCCATTCTTAGCTTCCTTCCGGGAGACTCAACCCGGGCGTTGATGTCAGCATCGTGGCCTGTTTATAGAGCGACTCGCCATCCCGCATTGTGGAAACAGCTTATGTACTGGGGAATGCCTTGGTTCTGGGAGCTACATAAGCTTGTTGAGGAAGATAATGTCACTGATCTAGACTATAAGAACCTCTACCTTTGGCTGAACAAGGCGACTATGCCGGTATATGGTATGCGTGGGCCGTTCTTGGGTATCGCCAACCGGAGACGCATCTGGTGTGCTTGCGCGCAGCTTGCAGAAAAATATTTCTTGTCTTTTCACCAACGGGAGAGCACAACTGATGAAGACTTCAATTCGGTACTGCAACAAAACCAGATAGTGCAGTTACCAATGGTGAAATATCCACAGTCAGACATGGAGGTTAGAACTATTAGCAAACAGTGGTTACATACTCTGGAGGAATTCAACGGTCGGTCCGCCTTGTTGGAGACCTTCTGGAGTAGTGACGATTACCTGATGGGTTTGACTGTTAGTTTTAGGACAAGCCGTCGGCCTTTTGGACGTGACGCAGCAACTGGGGGGGCTCATCAGCATGTTTTATCCATTGAAAGTTCTGATTGGATATCAGGGCTTGTCCTATACATGCCTGTGATGGATCTTCTAGATGCCCATGCCTATACAGCTGTCAAAGGTATCGAGGTAAGCGTAATATGGATAGGTTATAATCACACAAGCATCGCCAGCTATTTTGGGTCCTTCTGACTTAACGCGATTCCCAGGTCAATTTTGTGTCCGGGAAACATGTTTCCATAGGCTCTTGTGCAGGAAATCATAGGCCGTTCATGGTCTCCGAGGATCACTACCTTGTTGGCCTAGTTGGGCAAGCTGAAGAAGTAAACGCCCCTTGTCAAAGTATTACACGGAAACATCATTTCATCAAGACTAACCGTGTCTTTATTCAGGATGGAATCATTTCTCGTTTTGGAATCTTAGAGAGCCCGGCCACTAAAAGTGACGTGATCCCAACTCTATTTTCCATCATTCTGCATATATAGTCTCACCCGATTTACTTATATTCTCTTGGTAGGTAACAAATTTTATATTCACGATGCAAGGATTGTTCCAGAATCCGAACGCCCTTTCGGCCAGCGGCTCCTTTGGAGTTCAGCCGCATCCCCATTTGAACCGCGAGGTGATCAACGACGATTTATTTGGAGTCACCCTGATATTCAAGTTTTGTCTCCCAGCTCAATCGGAGATATGGGCCATGGTGGTGTACCTACTGACCTGGTTCCGCACCAATTCCTCATGTGGGCATTGCATGGCGACGAGCTTCGAAAATTAACTCGGATATCTGCCTACGTAAAAAAGGATATAACAAGCTCCGGGCCTATGGAGTGCTTGCTAGGCTTAAGGACCGAATACATTCGGCGTTACTGGGAACCGAAACGATATATGGGAGAGTTTCCCAACGATGATGATGAAGATGGGGCCCAAGAGGCTCCCGATGGAGAGATTCGCCATTTTGACATCGACGGCCCCAATTCTGAGTACGTAATCGGCATTGAGATTGCTACGGAGGGCTTCCTGAAAGCGATCAGAGTGAGCCAATTCTCAACTTCTCGAAATTCTTTTTTTTTTTTTTTTTTTTTTTTTTTGGAAATGCGCGAAAATCCGTTAACTAGGAGTATTCCAACCTGATCAGTTCCGAACCAATAGAGGAAGAGAAGCGTGTTTTGGTG